TAAGGTTTAATTCTGCAATGCGAAAGGATAATTTTGTAATGTCACTTGAAGGTGTGATCTGTCCTAAATTGGTCAGAAAATGCTTGGTCATGTTCTATGAACATTGAAAACCGCAACCAAGTATTGTCTAGCCTATACAAATATTTCCTAGTGAACTAAACATTTTATTAATCTGCCTGTCTAAATTTGTTTATACCTTTGTAGTTTTACCCATTAATGTTTAAGGTGGAGATCATAAGATTATTATTGTTAAACATTTGAGAATAACTCATAATTCTATATTAACCTATCATAATATATACACGTGTATATGAAAAGTAAAAGCATATGCAAAAACGGTATTATCATAATATTTCTGTTAACGGATTTTTTTTTATATTTTATTACTTTTATTTACATATAATATACTACTCTATTTACGAATTCATATTCAACATATTTAAAACGAGACCATCAATGTATTTAGGTCACGATGATAAATGTGTTTGTAAAAAAAATTAAACTGTTTAGATCTGATTAAAAAACATATCTGGAGTTTACAAATGAAAACTTGCATAGAAATTTAGAACTAAACATGCTTAACAGACGCTTTATACTCACGGGAATATAAATAAAGGATCCGATTGTCATTCATTGACTCATGGTTTCATTCTCGTATATAACAACAGTTCAATTTAGCAAGCATGTGACACTAACTTATATTTACATAAGCTGTCTAAAGCGAACAGTATTGTCAAATGTTATTACTTTTAGCAATGACGTTTTTGAAAAAAAATAATAGGAGTTTGCTACAAAAGCAAGCAAAGCAATGCTATATATAGGGATTTCATCATGGGCTATTGATGGTGATGCAATGCAAATGAATAAAAAAAAGATTGATCGAAATTTGCAAACTGAAAGATCTGTTCATTCACTATTCCAATGCCAAAGATATACATATGCCGAATTCATTATCACCAAACAAGTGAAACCAAAATCAAATTGACGATTAAATTCATAATGATAGATAGTGACATTATCTTAGAGATATCTTTTCAAAAAGACTATGGAAGTTACTACTATCTGATTTCTGATTTAAATTCGAAACTCAAAAATGTCATTTTGGGTCATCAATGCTTTTCAACTTTACTGTATTTGGCCTTTGAAAATTTCTAGTCAACGTTACTTATATATCCTTTTACACGAAACGATGGTCTATCATAAAAATGTGTTATACTGGTATTTATGATGAGTTATTCACTTAGACTTGACTACATCATTTTCTATCTTCAGTTTTGTTTATTATGTTCATTTTGAATGTTCAGTATGTCTACAGTATAATATTTTTCCTTGCTTCAGTCCGATATTTTGCTGTTCTCTGTAGTTTGATGACTTCGCTCATATATTTTCGTAATGAAAGGACAAGCTGGGAACAAACGTTTATGTTCCTCTATTGGTACATCGGAATCGTTCCACTGCCATATTATTCCAGCACAAAAGAAACATTGCACGGTATCATCCTTTCCTAAGTGAAAAATAAATAATAAATTCGTAATCAAAACAATCATTTGTTGCGTTTACTATACTGATATACGAAAAAACGTCGTTAACTCGCATCATAATTTTCGAAAACTTAATGTGAAGTTTTCTTAATTCATCGCTACGCTAAATTTAAAACGAGCCAAATGTTATCAGATTTTATGAGTAGGATTGTTAAAAAGAAAAGGACACAATGTTACCGATTCACACTGTTTTGGATATCGTACTTCGATTGTTTTTACATGACTTTAATTGTTTACAATTTTTGTAATTGTTCTCTTTACAAATCAGTTTTTTTTTTTTAACATTTATATAAAATTATATCATTTACTCTATCAAATGACCAAATATTCTAATTTTCTAGTAGAAGGGAACCTCCACGTATACTTTATAATCGGAGATGGTTATACTATTTCATCCTGATAGTGGTACTTCCAATTGCCAACGAAAGAGAGAAAACACTTATTGTGAATAGTAGAATTAACAATCGCCTTTTCCGCATTAAAACTATCGAAATATAAGAGAAAAAACATATAATCTCCCTTTATAAAGTGAATTAGGTAACTTAAAATGACTTACAAAGTGACCTGTATTGTTCATACACAATAACAATGCATTTGTTTCTTGCTTCATGCAATGCAACTAATATTTGTATTGTAACTAGACAGCGATTTTTCAATCTTTATCTAGATTAATTGATAAGGTAGTTTTTGTGACGATATAATAGATTCGAAGGGCGTATAAAAACCTACCACAATAGAAAGAATATCCCACTGTAATGTGATTTGTAAAATGCATACAAATCCTGCAAAATTTACTTATTTTCAATTGTTTTACGGTATATAAGTCAGATTATACATATTTTTAGCTTTTTTGTATCGCATAACACATCTTGGGTGTCAGGAGAGCCACAAAAAGACCTCCCTACGATCGGTATGTCTTCCATTTGATCAATCTCGACTTTCCTCGGTGTGTTCTGAGACAAGAAACCCTTACAAAATGCATTCGTCAACTGATTTTTATAGTTTGTTCTTTTGTTGTACTGTTACACCACTTTCCAAGGTTATGGGAGGGTTGGCGCCTTCAAACAAGTTCAACCCTGTCACATTCTGTATGTGCCTGTCCCAAGTCAAGAACCTGTTATTCATTGGTTGTCGTTTTTGCTGTGTTACATATTTGTTTTTCGTTCATTTTTTTGTACATAAATTAGGCCGCTACTTTTTTCTCGTTGAAATTGTTTTACATTTGTCATTTCGGGGCATTTTACAGATGACTACGAGGTATGGGAATAGCTCATTTTTTCAAAGCCGTACGGTGACCTATATGGTTGTTAATGTCTGTGTCATTTGATCTATTATGGAGAGTTGTCTCATTGGCAATCATGCAACATCTTCTTTTTATATTATCTGTAGCATTACTTTAACGTAATTTCGTGGCTACTACTTTACAATAAAAGGAAGTTTTGGAAAATTATTTAAAGATTGCATTCGATTGTAGGTACAATATTGTTCGTTAATGTACGTAGACTATTTTTCCATGTTGTTTATAATGTACAATTGGATGGAAAATTGAATCAAATGAACAATATTTATCAAGTATACAACCTGTTTAGGCTTTAAATGTATTACCATGTGTTGAGAGTGTTAAACTCCCTGCAAATGGTTTTATATGTGGGTTTCATCAAGGACATAATTCATCTATCCTTGTTGACTAATTTTTCATATTCAATTTTAGTTTACTCTTGTTCTAAACATGTGTGAAAATGTGCCACTGAATAATTTAGTAAGATCTAAAGATCTATCGGTTTGCAATACTTTTTAGAGTGTTTTATAATAAAGCAAATGAATTTTAGATAACGGTTCAACCTCTTTTGTTAGTGTTAAATAATTCAAGAATGGTATATGCATTTTTTAATAGAAAAGAAAGAAAGAATGATATACATATATTGTACTATCAGCACACAGAAAAGTGCATATCATAGTAATTTATCGAATTTGCCTTAAACAGTCAAATTAAGTAAAACATATTCTGAAATATTATATGCAAGGTTCGTAGAACTGTATCATTTAACCTTTTTGATTCGAGCGTCACTGATGAGTCTTTTGAAGACGAAACGCGCGTCGGGCGCTAATACAAACTTTCATTCCTAGTATATATGATGAGTTTGTTCACTTTTCATGAATTCTCCAATAGCTTTATATTTAGCAGGTTTAAAAGGAAGACTGACTTGTGACTTCATACAAGAGAGTCCAATTTCAACATTGCTATACTATGTCATTTAATGCATTACAAGAACATAATTTATTTTGTAAAAAACTCAGAAATAAACATTCTGGTACCAGTTAATAACAGGATACACATGCAAAGAGTCCAATTAGATAACATTGCAATAAAACAACAAACAAAAATCTTTTTATAACCCTCTCAAAAATTTTTATTTGAATCATATTCATAATCTTTTAAATTTCATTTGAATCATATTCATAATCTTTGAAGTTTTATTTGAATCATATTCATAATCTTTGAAATTTTATTTAAATAATATTTATTTTTTTTACATCATTTTAAACACGTTTTTAAATTCTAAACTAAAAAAAACTATATTACCTGAATAGAAAAAACCAGCATTAGCCAAATCTTCAGGTGTTTGTTTTACAATACTTGTCCAACCTTTGAATGATTTCAATCTTTTTCCCATGCTTTTATATGTAGAATAGCGTGGAAGCTTTTGTTGAAGGTTAGAACTAACAACCTTTTGAGCAGTGATCTGTTCGGTATTGCTGTATTGTGCTGCATCATAAGTAATGGCTATGGATGGTGATGTAATGAAAATGAAAAAAAGATTGATCGAAATTTGCATAATAAATGATCTGTTATTTCACTATTATAATGTAAAAATATATATAATAACATTAAAATCACTAAAAAAGTGACACCAAAATCAAATTGACGATTAAATGCATAATGGTAGATAGTGACATTATCTCAGAGATATATTTTCAAAAATTTGGGCGGACTATGGAAGTTACTACTATCTGATTTCTGGTAAAATGAAGTCGAAACTCCCAAAAGTCATTTTGGGTTCTCATTGATTTTCAACTTTACTTTTTTTGGCCTTTGAAAATTTCTAGTCGAACGTTACTTATTAGTCTTGTGTACACGAAACGCTTGTCTGGCATACAAATGTTTTATCCTGGAATAAATGATGAGTTAATTCACTTAGGCTGACATCCTTTATTTTCTTTCTTCCGTTTTGTTTGTAATATTCAGTATCTCTACAGTATATGATTTTCCCTTGCTTTAGTCCGATATTTTGCTGTTCTCTATAGTTTGATGACTTCACTCACCAATTTTCGTAATGAAAGGACAAGCTGGATAAATACGTTTATGTTCCTTTAATGGTACATCGGAATCGTTCCACTCACTCAGTATTCCAGCACAAAAGAAACATTGCACTATATCTCGCTTTCCTAGGAGAAAAAATAAATAATAAATTCGTAGTCAAAGCATAAGTAAATATCAATAGTATTGTACGTAAACAACATCTACGGACTAAAGAGAAAAATAAATTTGATTCTTATGAGGCTCTGCAAATCTACCAAAAAGGTATATAATTTTATCTAGACTTTCGTTAATTGGTATACAAACTACAAACTTACATTTGTTTGTAGCTAAGGTACAATGTCACACTTTGACCGTTGCAACATTATGTGATGTCATGAAGAAGATTTTAAGAACCTTTTCTGCTAGATCAGAACCGATCATATTCATCTCTAAAAACACACTGGCTGCAAAATAGACTCACACATCTCTCAGTCTATAAATGACAATAATAACTTTAATTATAAATTGTGTGAGCCCGGACGCGACTTTCCCGATATACCCTCACCAGGAACGCTCTAACGTTAACATTTGAAAGCCAGGGATGTAAACATACGTACATATACTAGGAACAAAAATACAAAAAGGGATATGAAAAGAAAAGTCAAATTTATCTAAGGTTGCTTTTGCTTGAGAGAGCTGGAACCTTAGTTTGATAAACATTTTTTTTTATCGACGATGAATTTGGAGAGGGCTGAAGTATTCCTTATATACCTATATGGAATTAATTTCCTTATGAACGATATGGTTTCTTTTGAAGAAAAAACTCGGACGATACAAAGTTGTATTGAACTTTGCTTCAAAACATAAATAGTGATCCGTGCAAGGTAATTATTTTCCTTTATTAAAATACAAACAACAGTTAACTAAAACATGTAATTCATTTTACAGTAATCGCGTGTTCTTTGCACATGTAGCAAATGGCGGTTTACTTATCAATTTGCCATCTTAAATAGGTTTAAGGAAGAAACAATTATTTCTTCCGTTTACTAGACTGATATACGAAAAAACGTCGTTAACTTGCATTCAACTTTCTAAAAAATAATGCGAAGTTTTCTTAATTTATCGCTGCGCTAAATTTAAAACAAGCCAAAGGTTATCACATTTTGTGAGTAGGATTGTTAAAATACAAAAGGACACAATCTTATCGATTCAAACTGTTTTGGATATCGTACTTCGATGTTTTTCGTGCTACAAACTTTAATTATGTACATTTTTTGTTATTGTTCTCTTTTTTTTTTTTTTTTTTTTTTTACATTTTTATAAAATTATATCATTTACTCTATCAGATGACCAAATATTCTAATTTCCTAGAAGATAAAATTCACGTACTTTATAATGGGAGATGGTTATAATATTTCATCCTGAAAGTGCTACTTCCAAATAAAAGAGAGAAAACACTTATTTTGAATAGTAGAATAAATAATCGTCTTTTTCGCAGTAAAACTATCAAGAAATAAGAGAAAAAACATATTATTGTATTTTTCATACACCATAAAAATTCATTTGTGTCTTGCTTCATGCAATGTAACTAATATTTGTATTGTAAATGGACAGCGATAATTTCAATCTATATCTAGATTAATTTATGAGGTAGTTTTTATCACGATATACTAGTAATTGATCCGAAGGGCGTATAAAAACCTACCACTTAGAAATAAAAAGAATATCCCACTGTAATGTCGTTTGTAAAATAGGATACAAATCCTGCAAAATTTACTTATTTTAAATTGTTTTTACGGTATTGTTTATACATATATTGTGGTTTTTCGTATCTTATAACACACATTGGGTGTCAGGAAAGCCCTCACAAAGACCTCCCTACGACCAGTATGTCTTTCGTTTGTTCAATCCTGACACTTCTCGGTGTGTTCTGAGAAAAGAAAAACCTTAAAATATGCATTTGTCAACTGTTTTTTTTAAAGTTTGTTGTTTTGTTGTACTGTTACACCACGTTATGGAAGGATGTCTGTCCAAAGTCAGGAACCTGTAATTCATGAATTGTCATTTTTTTTCTGTTTTGCTGTTTTTCGTTCATTACACTACAGACTGCCAAGAGTCTGAAAAGACCATATTTTGTGCTCGTCCAGTAAAATCGAGCACAGATTTTACTCGACTAGTCTCGACATTATCTCGACAGTACTTAACTGTACTTGACTGTACTCGACTTTGGTCTCGACTTTACTTATTAAGTCTAATTCAGCATTTCATGATCTTGGTGTAGTCTGAAATAGTCTCGACCAAGGCTCGACCAGTCACGACCTGTCTCGACTAGTCTCGACCTGTCTTGGCAAGTGTCGAACAGTCTCGAACAGTCTCGATCAGTCTTGACCTGTCTCGACCTGTCTCAACTATTCTTGATCTTCTTACTGAATCCCAGGTCGTAATGCAGTTTGGTATATTTCTGTCAAATTTAAGGATTAAATTAGTCTAGGTCAAAAAAGCTAGAATTTGCAGTTCGAACGTAATTCAGATAGTTCACATTAAATTTTTTTATAACTTTTTCAAATCAACTTGGATTTTTATAAAACTATACAGCTATCTCAGTTATATATTGAACTTACTGAATCCCAGGTCGTTATGTAGTTTGGTGTATTGCTGTCAAATTTAAGAATTAAATTAATCTAGGTAAAAAAAAAGCTTGAATTTGCAGTTCGGACTTAATTCAGATATTACACTTTAATCTTTTTAAATCTTTTTCAAATCAACTTGGATTTCCTATACAGCTATCTCAGTTATATATTGATCTTACTGAATCCCAGGTCGTTATGCAGTTTGGTGTATTTCTGTCAAATTTAAGGATTGAATTAGTCTAGGTCAAAAAAGCTAGAATTTGTAGTTCGAACGTAATTCAGATAGTTCACATTAATTTTTTTTATAACTTTTTCAAATCAACTTGGATTTTTATAAAACTATACAGCTATCTCAGTTATATATTGATCTTACTATTAGATAATGGTTCAACATCTTTTGTTAGTGTTACATAATTCAAAATATATCCAATTTTAAATAGAAAAGAAAGTCAGAATGATACACATATATTGTACTATCAGCACACAGAAAAGTGCATATCATAGTAATTTTTCGAATTGGCCTTGAACAGTCAGATTAAGTAAAATATATTCTTAAATACAGGTATTATATGCAAGATTCGTAGAACTGTATCGTTTAAATTTTTTTGATTCGAGCGTCACTGATGAGTCGTTTGTAGACGAAACGCGTGTCTGGCGCCAATACAAAATTTCAGTTATATATTGATCTTACTGAATCCCAGGTCGTTATGTAGTTTGGTGTTTTGCTGTCAAATTTGAGGATTGATGCAACTGTCGTACAAGTGAGAGGTTTAGCGCTTTAAAACCAGGTTTAATGCACCATTTTCTACATTTGAAAATGCCTGTACAAAGTCAGGAATATGACAGTTGTTTGATAAGTTTTATCAATTGATTTTGCCAATTGTTAGGGACTTTCCGTTTTGAATTTTCCTCGGACTTCAGTATTTTTGTGATTTTCTTTTTTTTTCAATCCTGGTATCTATGATGAATTTATTCACTTTTCACGATTTCTTTCCAAAGCTTTATATTTAGCAAAAGGAAGACTGATTTGTGACTTCATACAAGAAAGTCCAATTTCAACATTGCTATACTATGTCAATTAATGCATTACAAGAACATAATTTATTTTGCAGAAAACTCAGAAGTAAACATTCTGGTACCAGTTAAAACAAATGTAACAAGGATACACATGCAAAGAGTCAAATTAGATAAAATTGCATAAAACCAAAAACAAAAATCTTTTATAACCCTCTCACAATCCTTGAAATTTTATTTAAATCATATTCACTGTCTTTGAAATTTTTTATATTATTTTAAATATGTATTTACTTATGAAATTTTTGAACAATGTTTTTAAATTATATTACCTGAATAGAAAAATCCAGCCATAGCCAAATCTTCAGGTGTTTGCTTTATAGTACTTGTCCAACTTTTGAATGATTTCAATCTTTTTTCCATGCTTTCATATTGAGAATACCGCGGAAGCTTTTGTTGAAGGTCAGTACTTACAACCACTTGGGCAGTGATCTGTTCGGTATTGCTGTTTTTTGCTGCACCTTGAGTATTGCATCTCGCATCAAGTGAATCCCCCTAAAACACGTATAAAATATTATAAATAAGATTTACATTTAGTTTTACAATATTATGTGGTTATCATAGGTTTTCAAGCTCTAGATTGGAACCCAAAAGAATACAAATATTACTGAAAGCCAAGTGTAATACTCCCAAAAATATTTCTCACCGTTGACGATTTCAAATCTTAATCATAAACGCCATTTTTTGCTATTTTAAGTAGCGTATATACCTGACTATATCAGAATATGGGTATTAAATCAGATTTTAACAGGAAGATAATATCAAAAAACCGACACAGATAAAAATTGTAAACATAGTCAAAGTGTTCAGGCTTTAATTAAATCTGTATTTGGGTAAGATGATGAAGGCAAACGATCTGTATTGCGTCCTATACTTTTAGAGGCAAATAATATTTAACAACTATTTAATAGTACTGGGTAAACACGTTAATTATGAGCTATGAAAGTCAATTAGTTCGGGCATTTTTCTGAGTAAGTTTTAAAAATTTCAAACAAATATTCTGTGAGTAAGCATTCGTTAGCTGTCACTATCCCATAGATTAACAACTTTTGGTTATAATTTAGAAACTTGGTTGAAGGTGGAGAGCGTATACTGTGTTAATGAATTATATTGATGTGTCATTTGTATGTAAGAGTGACATTCCTTTGTACTATGTTCCAATTCGAAAAAGTCAATTGAACCTGTGCGTGTATTATCTCCCTTGAACAGGTTCATAATTTTATAGTAACGTATAGTTATTTGATTTAGAATAATTACAAAATTTATCAATTCAATAGATTTCAGTTAAACTTTCTGTTTTTGGTTTATTAAAGGCATTCATGTATAAATATGATTTTATTAATTTGTTTTGAAATGTTTAAAATTTTTATATATAAATATAAAGAACCTTTCATATATTTCTAAATACTATTCAGATACGTTTTCAATAAACAAACCGACCATGCACGATAATTGTTCTTACCCACCTTCAATTACAAATTACTTAGTTTAGTAACACAAACACACATAAGATACACATAAGCACAAACACAAAAACAGAGCACCATCACCACCACTTTATTCAAGAAACTTCAAACTTAGGTCAAATACTTTAGTGAGAAATTATGATTGAAACCTGTAAAAAGCATTTAAACTTTTATGAAAAAGACTATATATGAAAATTATCTCCCCATAATGTTCAAATGATGGGAAAATTAACCAGAGTTATTTTACATAAATCAAAAAGAGGGGCTAGCAAACAATTTTTAATTTGAGCTTAATTAACGTTAAAGCAATGAAATTTGGTGACAATAGATAAACATGCTATCTTAAGCTCACGGAGTTATATATTTAGTGCAAGACATAATTCGGCGAATCTAAATACTACACGTGCAAGCCTTTTATTAAAAACAATAATCGTGTATATCCCTTACACAGTACTTTATGTTCATTAAATGACTCGCATGCACTTCTAAATATGTGTTGCTATATATTAACAACTCTTTCCAGTCACGTGGTGCATCAATTTTGATAGATAGAATGTCTACAAAAGTAACATTTAGGTTATATTTCGGATTAAAGGCATCATAAGACAAATAATTCCCCTTGTCGTCTACAATTTCCTTGGTGAACCTTATGTATTTTATGTATCAATTTCTATAAAAAAATACTCGTGCATCAACTTTGATAAAAGATTTGAACCAAATAAATTCTTCCCTCACATGAAATACATGTAACTTGTAAAAAATCCCTTTGACATTTTTCAGAGTTAGTTTAAACCTTTTTCAGAGCAGATAAGACATCTTTAAATAATCAAAATGTGCGTTTAAAGCATAAATAAAGGCAACAGTAGTATACCGCAATTCGAAAGTGATAAATTGATTGAGATAAAACAAATCCGGGTTACAAATTAAAACCGAGGGAAACACATCAACTATAAGAGCAAAACAACGAAACAACAGAAAAACTAAAGAGCAACAAAAAACCAAACGACAATGTAACACACACAGAAACGAACTATAAGATAACAACTGATATTTTCCTGACTTGGTACAGGAAATTTTAGGAATTTTAGGAAAACATGGTGGGTTGAACCTGGTTTTGTGGCTAGATAAACCTTTAATGGCAATGTTAAATATAACACTAAAAGGGCAACATTACATGACAGAACTACAAAACAAATAAATGCAAGAACATTCAGGACAGAGAAATACACAAATAAACAATACAATAATACATTTCGATAAGCTAATAGTTATCAAAGTTATCAGGCTTATCATTTAATACGCCAGACGCGCGTTTCATCTACATAAGACTCATCAGTGACGCTCAAATCAAAATAGCCAGAAAGCCAAATAAGTATAAAGTTAAAGAGCATTGATGACGCAAAATTCCAAAAAGTTTTGCCAAATACGGCTAAGGTTATCTATGCCCGGGATAAGAAAATCCTTAGTATTTAGAACAATTTATACTTTTGCAAACAGTAAATTTATAATAAAAAAAAAATGACCATATAATTGATATTCATGTCAACACCGAAACGCTGACTAACAACAGAATAAAAACGAACACGTAAAACAACCTCGGGCAGCACATAAAAACAGCAAAACATTACAACGAATTGTCTTTCACACGACTAGATTGACGCTACAAAATGACGTCACCAGTAAATTTCTAAAAATTTGATATCCAAAATGTAGTTCAAGATTAGGTTTGAAATTATAGTATAAGATGTATTGTATAACAATTACAAGACTATTAATCTATAACTGTGTTAGTAATTAACTGATTTAATGTATTATCTAGCTATGTCGGTAATATTTTTGAATCAAACTATAAAACAAATAAATCGTGTACGTTTAGTTGCTTTAAACTAAAATTTTAGAAAAGAGGGGCAAAAGATACCAGAGGAACAGTCAAACTCATAAATCGAAAATAAACTGACAACGCCATGGCTTAAAATGAAAAAGACAAACAGACAAATAATAGTACACAAGAAACAACATAGAAAACTAAAGACTGAGCAACACGAACCCCACCAAAAACTGGGGGTGAACTCAGGTGCTACGGAAGGGTAAGCAGATCCTGCTCCACATGTTACAAATAATCTGGGTGATTAATTATCTGTACTTTTACATACGAATAGAAAAAAATAATAAACAAAATTAGAATTACAACTACAAACGATAAGACATTTAACAGTGTCCGATCAGAATTACAAATACAACATCATAACCAAATACATGAATGTTGGATAAACAAATACCGTGACATTTGGAGTCATGTTCAAACAGAAATAGTTTCAACTACCTTATACGAAGGAATAACATATGTAATTCAAAATTTTGATATTTCATACCATCATCGCTAGGAAACAACTTAAGATTTTACGTTAAGAGTACCACCAAGCCAAAAAATTGATAATATCACATTGTATTGTAGTTAATAAGATCTTGGAGCCTGTAATTCAGTGCATGGTTGTCGTTTGTTGTTGTGTTATATATTTGTTTTTAGTTCATTATTTTGTACAAAATCATGCCGTTAGTTTTCTCATTTGAATTATGTTACTTTTGTCATTTCAGGGATTATAGCTGACTATGTGCTATAATTTTGCTCATTATTGAAACCACGACCTAAAAATGTTAATCTGTGTGGCATTTGATCTCTTGTAAATAGTTGTCTCAAAGGCAATCATAGACAGCTGAATTTAATAGAGTCTCAGAGACTTTAATGATTATATAATACCACTGTACACCTAGCCCGTTTTTATCAAACATATTACGGGGTCATAAAATTCTCAAATCATATTCTGTTGTCATTGCTTTATATGGAAGCGGGCATAATTTGCAAATCGCTTTAGCTTTTCAAAAGTATTTAAATGATATCTGGTTCAAAACAAAACTTTGCCATTTTAAAATCGTAATAAAATATACGATTTTAAGGCTCACATGAGTATGTACTATTACCCGATACCTAAAATCAAAATTATACTTAAGCACCGACTCTTCATCGATCTTAATCTATGGTTTGGCCAGTTTTAGTCATGTCTTCGTTAAATTTCTGCTTAAATTAGTTTTTCCTCGTAATTTTCAGCAGAAGAAATCTTTTATCTCATCGTCTTTGAAGAAATTTTGAATCAAACATTTAAATTTTACGACCCCCTTTTTTTAAAATAAATAGTCGTTGCCCTATTTTTGTGTGAGGGAATTGGTATTTTAGTTGTCAGAGGATAAAAAGAAATTTATTTTAAAAATATAAGAGACAAATAACAGTTGTTTTTTTTTTACTATTTTAAAAAAGAAATATAAATTAATGATCGGGCCCCTCAGTGTTAAACGTAGTTTCTGAATTTTCAATTCACACTTTTTTTTCAATCTATTCCGGGAGTTATTTCCTTTATATCTTGCACTGAAGCATTTTCCACCCGATTCCCCCTTTTTATAATACACATAGAAAAAACTTTAATTGAGTTCATTTGTGTGGTTTGAAACACACAAGCACGTGGCAATAATTTGTTATACTATATTGTGAGTGTATATGAAGACCCCAAATAAGTTGAGGGTTCATACATTTACATTTTATGGTACTTGTACATGTATATCTCAAATTGTTCGATCCGCTCTGTATGTAACAACGTATTTGATCTTTACGAAAATAATCTCTCCTGTATTACGGAAAAAATATTATACAGGGGTTTTTGATATCACAAACGTGTCAAATGACGAAAAAATATAGTCAAGACACAATGTGTGTAAAGTGAGAATTGGAATGGGGTTCCAGTAGGTTTGCACTACTAGGTTTTCACTTGACGGTCAACTTGCAAGACTTAGTGAATTATTATCTAAATATAAAAGAAATTGAAAATATAATTAAAATTTGGTCTAAACATGCTAAAGAAACACTTACTCCAGTAGGAAAGATAACAGTTATCAAGACACTATTTATTTCAAAATTAAATCTGTTTTTTAACATTACAAGCACCATACTATACTACTCTTAAACAACTTATTCGTACA